AGGGTGAGTCTTTTTTCCCTTGGCCACTATTTCTCTATGGTCAGTGCTATATTAGTATCAAGCCATTTTGTGGACTGTTACCTTATTTTTGTTTAGTTTAACAGTTGAACCAAAGAAAAGGCAAAATGTGTCCTCAAGTTTACATCTGATAAAATGCTGGGATAATTTTGTAATAAAATCAGACAAAATTCTGCCCCTTCTAAGAGATGTGCATGGATTGTAAATATCAAGATAAATTACAGTGCTATTGGTATACCAGTTGTAGAATTTCAAAATGAAGAGAGTGACATATTGCTACTTAGGGTTTTCTGATTCTATCTGGTTTTCTGAATTAATTTAGAGTAAAATTGGCCAACATGTTTTTGTTTTTGTTTCTTTTTTTTGAGCTTCATTAATAGATGTGAGAATAATGTAAGGTGACACAAGAAAGCGTGATGAATATTATATCATGAGGCTTTAGGAGTCATGAAGAACTTGAGACTCAAGCATATATACTGAACATAATAAACAGAATATAAGGTCGTAGTGAGTGAACTGGAAGAGAACAAGCTATCCTGGAAATAGACAACTATTTAAACAAAGGTAATAATTCAGAGAGTTATCTGTGATATCCATCTAATTTTCCTTGAATAGAAAGAATCTGGATTTTGAATGAAGCCTTAACACAGGGGAAAAAAGGTAATTCAATAACTAAATTAAAGGTGAATATTGCAAGGAATTTTGTTGTCTATGTGATTCGGCCCAGATATCAAGCTTTGTTTGAGAAATTCAATAAAGTATTTTTTATAGGATTCATAAAACAAATAGATGAGGAACAGTGAGGAAATTAACTTAGGTTCTGTTTAGAAACAAATACCCTCATCCCTCTTTGAGTCTTCTGACCTTCAGTGGACAAATACTTTCTGCCACCAAATCACCAGAGGGACCTGGAGACAGAACATCCCTATCTCCCACCCCCCCCCACCAGTAGAGAGGTTAGTAACAGGGAGGGGGAGGTTTCCTCCAGCACAATTCTCCCTCTTTGAGTCCCCTGACCTGCAGCAGACAGATCCTTCCCTCCACCAAATCCCCCAGAGGGACCTGGAGACAGAACAAAGCATCTGCCATTCCTGTCTTGGGCCTTCACCCTCCCTTAGAGAAGGGAGGGGCGGTGACCTGGAGGAAGAGCCAAGCATCCAGTATCTGCTGCCATTCCTGTGTAGTGAGATAGTCCTTCTGTGGCACTGACCACGCCCATTGGGGGTGGAGCGATGGGCAGAAGTGACCTGGGGTAGGAAGTTGGAGAGAGAGCCGGGAAAAGCTCTCTTGCTGGCCTGACTCGGACAGGAGAGCATCGGGTGGAATTTCCTGGTGTTCATCTGTCTAGGTTGTAAGTTATTTCTCCCTGAATAAACATCTATTTGGCCTATTTGTTTATGCTGATCCTTATTTAACCACGATATTCCTGTCTTGCCCTTGTACCTCCCTGGAAAGAGGAGAGGATAGAACCTTGAACCCCTACCCACCAGAGAGGGAGAGACCCCACTTGTATCCACTGGATACGAAGAAAGAATCTATCCTTTTGCTGCATATAAGAAACAAACTTCATCTTCAAAGACAGACACTACCTTAGAGTAAGGGGCTGGGAAAAGATTTTTTAATCAAATGGACCCAAGAAACAAGCAGGTACAGCTATCCTAATATCTAACAAATTAGACTTCAAACTAAAATCCATCAAAAGAGATGAGGAAGCTGCTCATTTCATATTCATCACAGGATGAAGTCTCAATTCTATGTCCCAAATATGAAGATACCTACATTCTTGAAAGAAACATTACGAAAACTCAAATCTCCCATTTATAGTGTGAGACTTTAACACTCCACTCTCAACACTAGACAGGACCACTTGACAGAAACTTAACAAGAAACAAAAGAACAAACAGAATTTATGAACCAAGTGGGTTTAACAGACATGTATAAAATCCAAACACAAAAGAATATACTTTTATTTCAACTCCACATGGAACCTTCTCTAAAATCAACCACATACTCGGCAACATAGCAAATCTCAACAGATACAATAAATAAATAAATAAATAGAAATAATTCCATGTGTCTTATCAGACCACCATGCTTTAAAGTTGGAATTCAACGACAACACAAGTTTCAGAAACCCTACAAACTCATGGAAACTGAACAATACACAATAGCACCATTTCCGGGTCAAGGAAGAAATAAAGAAAGAAATTAAAGATTTACTAGAATTAAAGGAGAATGAAGACACAACATACCCAAACTTATGGGACACTTTGAAAGCAGTACTAAGAGGAAAGTTCATTGCCCTAAGTACCTACATGAAGAAACTGGAGAATAGTACATTAGAGAATTAATAACACAACTGAAAGCTCTAGAACAAAAAGAAACAAACTCACCCTGGAGTAGACAACAGGAAATAATCTAATTGAGGGCGGAAATCAATAAAATAGAAACAAAGAAAACAACACACAGAATCAATGTAACAAAGAGTTGGTTTTTCCAAGAAAATCAACAAGACAGACAAACCTTTATCCAAACTAAACAAAAAAGCAGAGAGAATATGCAAATTAGCAAAATCAGAATTGAAAAGAGGGACATAACCACAGACATTGAAGAATTCCAGAGACTCTTCAGTCATACTTTAAAAACCTGTACTCCACAACATTCAAAAATTTAAAGAAAATGGACAAATTTCTAGATAGGTACCACTTACCAAAATTAAATCAAGAACAGATAAGCAACTTAAATAGACCTATAACCCCTAATAAAGTAGAAGCAATCATCAAAATCTCCCAGCCAAACAAAGCCCAGAGCCAGATGGCTTCAGTGCAGAATTCTACCAGAAATTCAAAGAGAAAGTTTATTGCCAAACTCTTTTTGTGAGGCTACAATTACCTTGCAACCCAAGCCACACAAAGACACAACTAAGAAAGAGAACTACAGACCAATATACCTCATGAACATCGATGCAAAAATACTCAATAAAATATTGGCAAACAGAATCCAACACTACATCAGAGAAATCATCCACCATGACCAAGTAGGCTTCATCTCATGGAAACAGGGATGAAAATCTATCAATGTAATCCACCATATGAACCAACTGAAAAAGGAAAAAATATATGATCATCTTACTAGATGCTGAAGAAACCTTTGACAAAACCCAACACCCCTTCACGATAAAGGTCTTAGAGAGATCACAGGGATAATGGGAACACACTTAAACATAACAAAAGCAATATACAAGGCTGGGAAGATGGCTAAGCTGTTAAAGGCTAGGCTCACAACCAAAAATAAAAGCAATATACAGTAAACAAATAGCCAACATCAAAGTTAATGAAGAGGAAATAGGATTTCTCTAAAATTAGGAACAAGACAAGGCTGTTCACTCTCTACATATCTCTTCAATGTTGTACTTGAATTTCTTGCTAGAACAATCAGACAACAAAAGGAGATCAAGGGGTTACCAATTGGAAAGGAATGAGTCAAACTTTCACTATTTGTAAATGATATGATAGTTTACATAAATGACCTGAAAAATTCTATCAGGAAACTCCTACAGCTGGTAAACACATTCACCAAAGTGGGAGGTACAAGATTAACTTAAAAAAAAAAAATCAGTAGCCCTACTATATACAGATGATAGAGGGGCTGAGAAAGAAATCAGAGAAACATCACCCCTTACAATAACCACACACAACATAAAATTTCTTGGGGTAATGCTAACCAAACAAGTAAAAGACTTATATAGCAAGAACTTTGGGTCTTTCAGGAAGGAAATTAAAGAAGACACCAGAAAATGGAAAGATTTCCCATGCTCTTGGATAGGTAGGATCAACATAGTAAATATGGCAATCTTGCCAAAAGCAGTCTACAGATTCAATGCAATCCCCATCAAAATCCCAGCACAATTCTCTATGGCTTTGGAGGCTGTCCTAGAACTAGCTCTTGTAGATCAGGCTGGTTTCTAACTAACCACTGCCAGGCGAGAGCCTACCTTCCCTGATAATGAGATTAATGACTACCCTATATACCTTCATCCAGTAGCTGAAGGAAGCAGAAGCAGACATCCATAGCTAAAGATTAAGCCGAATTCCTGGAATCCAGTTACAGAGAGGGACAAATGATGAGAAAAATGGTCAACTATAGGGTGGAGAAACCCGCAGAAACATCTGACCTGAACAAGGGGGAGCTCATGGACTCCAAACTGATAGCTGGGAAACATAGGACCAACCCAGACTCCCTGAACGTGGGTCTCAGTTAGAAGGCTTGGGCAGTCTATGGAATCTCTGACAGTGGAACCAGGATGTATCCCTGGTGCACAATTGGACTTTGGGAGCCCATTCCCCATCGAGGGGTACTCCCTTAGTCTAGAGACCTGGAGGGGGGCCTAGGCCATACCCCGAATAACTTGACAGATTTCGTTTTGTATTTTTAATTTTAATATTTTTCCTTCTAAATTTAAATTTAAAACAAGGTTGTTTTTTGTGTCAATCCCTGTTCCCTCACCCTCTTATCCTCCCCTATCACCCCTACCAAACCCCAGCCCATTCCCTTTCTGCTCCCGAGGAAGGACTTGACAGATTTTGATGATTCCTCATGGATGGCCTCTCCCTCCCTGGGAAGTGTATAGGGGATGGGATGGGGGCTGTTGGGGGGCATGGGAGGATGGGAGGAAGAGGGAACTGGGATCAATATGTAAAATAAAAAATACTAAAAAAAGAATTGAATACCTTCACGACAGTTTTTTACATTATAGATTAAATCTGGTGTAATCATCAGGGATAGATTGTCACAGCCAGCTTTTCAGTTTAGGACCTAAAAATCCAATGACTTCTAATGCATAAACTTTCTCTGTGTGTGTTTCCTGTAAGATATTCCTGTAGAGACTCGAAGAGATTACAAGAAAGCCAGTGGACTCACTCCAGCTTTTAGAGCTTTTGTAATTTTGGCTCCGCCTATCTTTACAGAAATAAAGAATGCTGGAGCTTTGCCTTTTATTCAGCTTAGGTTGTTGGGGAAGAAAAGACAGTGTTGGACTTGTTGGGCTGTGGATATCATGGATCTCAAACATAGTTATTCAGTGAAGTTGAATGATGGAAACTTGATGCCAGTGCTTGGATTTGGTACATTTGCTTCAGAAGAAGTAAGTGGAACTTTTGGGAACTAAAGGATTAGATATTAACTATCCTGGAAGTACTTTCAGAATGCAGGAGACCTGTACCTGATGGCTGATTCATCTTGACTACCTTTCATGTCTACCATTTACTGTTTTGTTCATGCTTGGCGATACCTATTGGTACTTGGTGAGATGCTAAGATGTTAGCTCTGGAGATTTGGAGGTTAATGATTTTGTAGGCAGATTATGTACCATTATTGTTATTGACAATATTGTGCAGAGAACCACAACTGCTGTCAGCCCATGAATGTAAGCAGCTCCACCATACCCAGGAGATACTGTTGTGTAGCAGTTTTCTTGTTTATATGATCTCTGGGAAAATCTTTCTTCCTCCTCTTTTATGATGTTCCCTGAGCCTCTTGAAGAAAGGGTATGCTATAGAAGTCCCATTTATGGATGGGTGAGCACGCCACAGATACCTATTTTTCTGGACTTAAATAGTTGTGGGTTCTGGTATTAATCACTTTCTATGGCAAAAGCAGCTTCTTTGATAAAGACTGAGAGATGCACTAATCTATGAGCATAAAGATAAGTATTTGGAGTGCCAGTCATCTTTTTTTAAAAAATGTTTGTGAGAATCCACAACCAGTTTGCTCACAATTTAGTATTGAAGACTTACAAGATATAAAGTAACAATGGGGATGGGATCACATTTCTTATCGAACAGCCAATTGTAGTGAACTGAAAGTGTCTAACTCTAGTCACAGGTAATAGCTTTGGGGTGGCTTGGTAAGGATTGTTTATAAATGACAGAATAATGATGAAATATTAGTGCTGGATAGAACCAGGTTATTTTAATTGTAATTTGTTATGGATTAAGCATAGTTTATGTGTTCTATAGCTTTTAACTGACATTTGTTACTATTGTGAAAGACAGAATTGTATCTTAGGAGACAGAACAAAAGCATTCCATAATGCTTGCACTTACAAAGGTAATACATTCCTGTGAGAAGTAGAATGAAACAAACAGAAGCTTCTTTCATATCTAGTAGAATTTTTTATTCTGAACTTGACTCTTACTCCACCACTGACCTTCCTATGGGGTCATTGCTGGAATAAAAGTCAGCTTGGTTGTGTGCCTTGTGACTTTGTCTAGTCAAGTGTCCTGGGAACAATACAAACACAGGATATCAGATTAAATCATTAAATTATACACTGATTGAAATTTGAGTACACTTTGTAAATATTATTGTCCTGACTTTGTTCCCCAAACAGCAGCTTACTGAGGTGTGGTCCTTGTCCTGGTAACAATAGCTGGTCAGGAGAGTAGTTGTCAGCTCTCTGGGCATCTGCTGCATCTAGCTGTTTTCACTTTCACTGTTTTTTTTTTTTTCCTGGATGTGGATTTAGCATCCTGCCTTTCAATGTTCCCAGTTCTGATGCAGATTAAGGGACAGACTCATGTAAATTTCCTGCATAAACAAATTAGTGGATCAATTTTTGTCAGTAAGGACAAATATACAATCAATAAACTAGTGTTTAAACTAGAAAGGAATAATACACATTTTACTGGTCTGGAGTATTACCTATGATGGTGGTACTTTCAGGTTTTGAATGAATGATTTATTAAGTAAGTGTAAGGAAAGTGAAATAATAAATTATGAGGGTCAAATAAAGAGAAGCAGTAGATATATAGCAAAGCATTAAGTCAGGGGACTGAAAAAAAATCTAGTAGAAACTAACTGGGAATGCCCCATTGAGGTAACCAGATGGGATTTCCCAGTTAAAAGTACATCTTAGGCAGAGTGAAGTATCCCCTTGGGTGAGACTTCCAGATAAAGCTGATATCATCAAATTGGATGCTTATAGTATCCAGCAGGAACTAACTGGGGAAGTTGAGGCAGTAAGTTGGAGTTCCTTATTTAGCTCTCTCTCCCTGAGGATGGACTTCCTGTGGAATGACTTTTCTTCTCGCTATTGTTCTTCTTCTTCTGCTGCTCTTGCTCCTCCCTTTTTCCTTTTTCTTCTTTATTCTGTAGCCATTTCATATCATGGGATAAAAAACAATCACCTTTGTTGGGAATGACTTATATTGTAGCTATTTTAAAGGCACATGTTTTCAATACTGTTAGCTGCTTAAGATTTTCCTCTCCCTGCTACAAAGCCAGAAGGTCAATCTGACCCAGAGCAGAGAGTTTTGTAGGACAATTGACATAAACATGCTTGAGTCTGAAATTGGTGGAAAGGAAAAGCTGCTTCCAGGGCCAGCTTCTCAATGAGCTTTAGCAGCCTATAGAAATATGCATTTATGCATATGCTTATTAAAGTTCATGTTCGTGGTCAAGCTTCTAACTGGCATTAAAATCTGTCTTGGCAATCATAGGAGTCTGTAATGCTAAAGATCAATTTTTGTGTGGCTTTCACAACAAAATAGAGATATATGAAACATAGATGGAGAACTGTTAAGATGATGATGATGGTGATGATTAAAACAAGGTCTCATGCATTCCAGGCTGGCCTTGTACTCACTATATAGATAAAAATGACCTTGAACTTCTGATTTTCCTGCATCCTAAGTGCTAGGAGTGTAGGTGTGGGTTACCCCATCCACTTTTCATACTGTTTAATGATGGTCTCTTCTACTTCTTTTCAGAAACCTCATGGAATAAGGGAAGCCAATCCTTTTGTTCGTAGAAAAAATATCTAGTACTCCAGGACCTACCATAGTATTGGGAAAAAAGAAGTCATTCCATAAATGCTAACTTCATACGTACTGAATACAAGGACCTGAAAAATGAAGGGAACAAGACTTTTGAGTGAACTGAAGAGCCCATTTGAGTGGAAATTGAGAATGATGGGCAATAGGAGCTAATTTTTACTTTTCCCACCACATATACCTATGTGTATGAACACCTGTCCTATCTACCGAGTGCCTTAGAACTTTTCTTCCAGTGTGCAGCATTCCTGCTAGCTAGTTCCTTACAACTGATCTTTATTGAATGGAAGTTGCATTTACATGCTTTACATGAATCTTGCATTACTAATTAATTCAGTCAAGATTTAGAAGTTAGTCTTTTTGTAGTCTGTGTTTACAGATAGATTGTTAATCTATTATCAAGGTTTACATCACCAAATAAGATTAACCACAGGGCTGGAAACAACTCAGAAAAAATACTGTGAAGAAATAAATGGCTTCCCTCCCCTGAGTTGGTTATATCCTCAACTTTTCCTACTCTTGTTTCATAGATTCCAAAAAGCAAGGCCTTTGAGGCCACCAAAATAGCCATTGATGTAGGTTTCCGGCACATAGATTCTGCATATTTCTATCAAAATGAGGAAGAAGTTGGACAGGCTCTCCGGGACAAGATTGCAGATGGAACTGTGAAGAGGGAGGATTTATTCTACACCACCAAGGTGAACACTTATGGCCAGAATGACTGGAAGCCACTGCCAATTCAGATATGTTATTGGGGAGGAAGATATCACCCCTTATGTCTCAGTTTGAATCATGCCTTTATTGCAAAGACTATAGAAACATAGAGAAAAGGGCCAACAAGGTGACTCAGTGGAAAATGATATAAGCTGCCATGCCTGGCAACCTTTTATTCTGGGGTGTACATGGTAGAAGAGAAATGATTCCTGATATTTTACCTCTACATGTGTGATACCCATACATGATCACACATACACACACAGAGAGAGAGAGAGAGAGAGAGAGAGAGAGAGAGAGAGAGAGAGAGAGAGAGAGAGAGAGAGAGAGAGAGAGGAGAGAAATAAAAATTAAAACAGAAAAGGCTTGTTTTGCTCCAAAGGTATTAAATGTGGGTTGTAGCTACTCAGTGTCTTTGAATATCAGACATTGTCTAGATATAAAATAAAGAAACAGTTCTGTAGGATAATCTGGCTTCTTTGGGCCATGAGTAACTAATTGAAGAATCTACCAAAGAGTAGATTACCAAGTGACATTGAGAATATTGTTCACAAAGGGAAAACCCTTTTCTCAACTCAGCACTGAATGGAATGAAATTTGTAATGTTTTCTCAGTTGGAAAGACAGGCTTCTAGTGCAATTGGATCTGAGTTGATGTCTCTACAGATACTCTTATGTTTACACTGGTGACTGCTTTATTTTAGACTGGATCCCTTAGAATTGGTTCTGGATTTACTAAGAACAGTAAATCCTTTGTCAATTTTATCTGCTGCTGTTTGCTCAGTTACTTGGAGGCCTCACCTAAAGGGATACTTCACTTAGCCCAGGATGCACTTTTTTTATTTATTTATTTTTATTTAATTTTATATAACAAAGTCCAATTAAATGAAAACAAACATTTATACACAATATTTGGGAATTTGGGCGTCGTTCTTTCCAAACTACTTCCTGCTGGTAAAGGGTGCTGTCTTGGGGGATTCGAAGAAGATTCAGATACCCAGGATGCACTTTTAACTGGGAAATCCCATCTGGCTACCTCAATGGGGCATTCACCGTTAGTTTCTACTAGATATTTTTCAGCCCCCTTATTTAATGTTTTGCTGTATATCTTATACTTCTTTCTATTTGCCCCCCCACTTGCAGCCCATCATTTCTTGACTCTTTTGAGACCAAAATTAATTTTTGAAACACTTAAGTTGGTTGTTTTCTAAATTTTTCTCATTCCCTCACATTGTCATCACTCAAATAAATATCGGTATTCTATTGAGGATTTATTCTATAAGAAGCAGCATGGATTCATGTAGGGTTATGGGGAGGATTTGGGAAAAGTTGGGTGATGGGAAAATCATGATCAAAATACATCGTTGGAAAAATTTTGATAAGTATGTAAAAACTTAGTCCCAAGTGTTCTTAGCTTAGCTGAGGCCACCTTAGCAGGTCTCGATTCTGTTACCACAATGTGCAATTTTGTTTGGAAACTGTAGATTTGGACTACTTTTCTTAGACCAGAGTTGGTTCGTCAGTGCCTGGAGAGATCACTGAAGAAACTTGGGCTGGATTATGTAGATCTCTGCATTATTCATGTACCATTTGCTATGAAGGTCAGTTTTGGACTTTTATGCCCTAGATTATTATAACTATTATATTATTGTTAGGACACTGATATATATATATATATATATATATGTATGTACATATATATGTACATATATGTATATATGTATATGATGATGATGAATAGAATGGGTAAATGATTATGTCTCTCCATGACAGCCGAGAGACCCCACAGGCAAGTCTTTTTAAAATGCTCATCCTCCAGTCTTCAGGAGGGTTGAAGTTCAAGGACTTCACTGCTTCTTATCGATCAGAGTACCCTGGATTGTGGGGACTTCTGAGACTCAAGGGGCACTCTCCATCTCCTTAGGGCATGTTCTTACCTGTGTGTATCTCTCAGACTAGAACACAGGGATCTGGATTTGGGTAAGGGACATTTGGGCTTGGGCTCCTTTGGGCCTTAAGCCTTCATTTTCTTATCATGGTACATGTTTGCTGATCACATCTGATAGACTCATTAACTCAGAATCAAGTTATCATAAAGTAGAGAAAAGCTCATGATTAATAGTGAAAGTTCTATCCTTTATACTATTCTGTCACTGGGATATGAAATAAATTCCAATGGAAAGAACCCTCATAATTGTGAAATTTAGAGCTTCATGGGGCCTAGGGGGAGAAAAGTGGGGGCAATCAAGAGGAAAGATGTTCTCTTATAATCTCTTAGATAATTTCAATTTTCCATCTCCAAAATCTCCCTTTAAAGATACAAGTGCCTACATGTACATGTGCACACACACAGAGTGATTAACACACACTCCTAATATTGGATGAGTAAGCTCATTAGGCATTAGAATTAGACTATTAGATAAATTATTTGTTAACCTCTCTTTTCTCTGCATTCTAGCCTGGAGAGGAACTTCTGCCAAAGGATGCCAATGGAAAAATCATTTTAGAAATAGTGGACATTTGTGATACATGGGAGGTAGGTTCTGTTGCAGACATCATAAGAGAGGAACCAATTAATAAAGAATTAGAAGACAAAGTATAGTTTCATTAATTGATAAACCTAAGACATATCATAATGCCTAGTCTTACTTTAGCTTACTATGCTGTGTTCAGTTGATAATCCTAGGAGGCCTGCTTATTTCTGTAGAGAAATGGACGGGGAGTGGATCTGGGGGAGAGGGGAGATAGGGAGGAGGAATTGGAAGGAGTGGAGGGAGGGGAAACTATGGTTGGGATATAACATATGAGAGAATAACAAACAACAACAAACCCTTCTCTGTCTTTCTGTAATCTCATCTGTAGAGTATGAATTGAGAGGAATGAACTTTAATTTTTTAATATCAACTATGATTTGAAGTAGACATTTCTTTGCCTCATAGATACAATCAACTATATAAGCCATATAAAGAGGATCAGCAGAAATAAACTGAAGAAGGGTTATGGCACTTATTTCAGTACAGAAAAACACACCTTTTGAGAAGTATAATCTGTGTTAGCACAGAGCAAGCTATAGCTGAGAATGCAACCTGCCATTATATATGCTATCTGATAAACACAGTTTTTCAACATTATAGGAAAAAAGTAAGAATACACTTCTAACTAGCACAAGAACCAAGAATTCTTTGTCTCTATGCTGGCATTTATTGAAGAAACCTTGCCTGCCTAACATCAAGACAGATGCCACTAAAAAGGGTGGGAAAGTAAGGGGAATCATACATATATTTGTTGTTCTCAATGTGAGTGTAATTGAATGAGCAGACAAATATGTATTCATTGCAGGTAAGTGCTTAAAGCAAGGCTGTATTCAAGTGACAATATTGTTTTGAAATTGTAATTGGAATTATGTAAGTAACTGGAATTATGTAAGTAACTGAAATGATTATGTAAGTGTTCAAATAAGTCCAAGAAAAATTGCAAAGCACAGAGTACGGTAAGGATTAACTAGATATTTTCTTCCTCTCTAGGCCCTGGAGAAGTGTAAAGACTCAGGTTTAACCAAGTCCATAGGGGTGTCCAATTTCAACCACAAACAACTGGAATTGATTCTGAATAAACCAGGGCTAAAATACAAGCCTACTTGCAACCAGGTAAGTTCTTACCCACTTTGGCCATCCCTTACTTTCTGTTCTTCACAAACTTCTTCCTTATTTGATACTTCCCAGATTTCTGTTTTGAACCAGCTATTTGGGTTATAGCCATTTTCATTGAGACAGGCAATATCAGTGATGGTTCAGGTTGAACAGAGAGGGAAGAACAAGACAGGGGAAGGGCAGTTTGATTGGCTGAGGTCACTGCTCTTCTTTTTTTTTTCCTCTGAACTTGTTTTTTTTTTTTTTTTAATGCATATAGAGTATTTTTTATTTAATTTTATATAACAAAGTCCAATTAAATGAAAACAAACATTTATACACAATATTTGGGAATTTGGGCGTCGTTCTTTCCAAACTACTTCCTGCTGGTAAGGGCGCTGTCTTGGGGGATTCGAAGAAGATTCAGATATCCTAGCTGTAGTCTGTAGGGCTGTTTTGTCCAGCTGTTTGGAATGTAGGATCAGCTTGTACTCTGTTTCAGGCGGTCTGGTGTGATCAAACCACATTAGTCTGGAAGGAATCCACATCTTTTCATTTTCTGTGGAAACAAAAATAGAAATACTTTTCCCCAGTAACTTGTTCTTCAACTTAAATTTTGGAGTCAAAGCGTTTTTTTTTTTTTTTTTTTTTTTTTATTATTTTACATGTCGATCCCAGTTCCCTGTCCCTCCCTCCCTCCCTCCCCCCCAAGCCCTCCCTCCCTCCTTCCCTCCCTTTTGCCCTCTCTACCCTCTCACATGCACTCTAAACACCCTCCCCTCCCAACTCCCCACCACAATACAATATGTAGGGGAATGCCATCCAGTTGGGGTCATGTAGATCTGACAGGTCCTGTGAAGTAGGGACTAGGGCTTCTCTCCTATCTCTAGAATAAGGCAGTTATCCCTCCATGGGGGATATGTTTGCAAAGTCCTTTTGTGCACCAGGGATACATCCTGGCTCCACTGTCTGAGGTCTCTTAGGCTGCTCAGACCTTCTGGCTGAGACCCATATTCAGGGGGGTCCGAGTCAGACCCCTGTTGGCTTCCCAGCTATCAGTCTAGTGGCCCTTAGCTCCTCCTTGTTCAGGTAAGCTGTCTCTATGTACTTCTACCGCATGGTCTTGTCCTCTCCATCTGCTTCTGGGTTCTAGTTTGACTCAGTGTTTATGTATGGGTGTTTGCTCCTGTTTTCAACAGGCATTAGTTGAGGACTCCATGGAGAAGTTAGTTGTTGATCTCACTCTCCGGGAAGGGCATTTATGATAGCCTTTCCACGGAAGCTGAGATTGTTAGTTGGGAGCAGTCTTGTAGTTCCCTCGACCTTTCTTTGTGTTCAACTTTATCTTCAAACCAATATTGGCTCCCTCTTTTATGTTCTCTCTCTCTGTCTCTGTCTCTCTCTCTCTTTCCTATTTTCCATTCCTAACCAGGCTCAATCCTCCTGGTCGCACATGCCTTCCTCTCCTCCCTCTCATTTTCTCCTACTTCTCTCTCCATTAGCTGTCCTCCCCCACTATACCTGAGGTCTGGGGGACTTGTCCCTTCCCAGTTCTGTGAGGGACTTTATATGAATCTCTTAGAATACAACTTGTATCCTAGTTCCTCTGGTGATGTGAATTATAGGCTGGTGATCATTTGATCTAGGTCTAAAATCCATATATGAGTGAGTACATACTGTGTTCCTCTTTTTGTGACTGGGTTACCTCATTCAGGATGGTTTCTTCAAGTGCCATCCACTTGCCTGCGAATTTCAAGATACCATTATTTTTTTCTGCAGAGTAGTATTCCATTGTGTAGATGTGCCACATCTTCATTAACCATTCTTCAATTGAAGGGCATCTAGGTTGCTTCCAGGTTCTTGCTATTACAAATAGTGCTGCTATGAACATTGTTGAACAGATGTCTTTGTTGCATTGATGTGAATCCTTTGGGTATATGCCTAAGAGGGGGATTGCCGGGTCCTGTGGTAAACTAATTCCCATTTTCCTGAGGAACCGCCATACTGATCTCCAAAGTGGCTGTATGAGTTTGCACTCCCACCAGCAGTGGAGGAGTGTTCCACTTTCTCCACATCCTCTCCAACATAAGTCATCATTGGTGTTTCTAATTTTAGCCATTCTGGCAGGGGTAAGATGGTATCTCAAAGTTGTTTTGATTTGCATTTCCCTGATAGCTAAGGATGTGGAGCATTTTCTTAAGTGTCTTTCAGCCTTTTTGATTTCCTCCATTGAGAATTCTTTCTTCAGTTCTGTACCCCATTTTTTAATAGGGTTATTTGGTGTTTTGTTGACTAGTTTCTTGAGTTCTTTGTATATTTTGGAGATCAGCCCTTTGTCGGATATAGGATTAGTGAAAATCTTTTCCCAGTCAGTGGGCTGCCGTTTGGTCTTGTCAACTGTGTCCTTTGCCTTACAGAAGCTTCTAAGTTTGAAGAGGTCCCATTTATTAATTGTTTCTTTCAGTGTCTGTGCCCCTGGAGTTATGTTCAAGAAGCGGTCTCCTATACCAATTTGTTCAAGGGTACCTCCTACTTTCTCTTCTAAGAGGTTCAATGTGGCTGGATTGATGTTGAGGTCTTTGATCCATTTGGACTTGAGATTTGTGCATGGCGACAGACATGGGTCTATCTGCAGTCTTCTACACACCCTCATCCAATTGTGCCAGCCCCATTTGTTGAAGATGCTGTCTTTGCCCCATTGTATAATTTTAGCTGTTTTGTCGAAAATCAGGTGTTCATAGGTGCGTGGATTAATATCAGGATTTTCAATTCGATTCCATTGGTCTACCTGTCTATTTTTATGCCAATACCAGGCTGTTTTCAGAACTATAGCTCTGTAGTAGAGCTTAAAGTCAGGAATGGTGATGCCTCCTGATGTTCTTTTATTGTATAGGGTTGTTTTGGCTATCCTGGGTGTTTTGTTTTTCCATATAAAGTTGATTATTATCCTTTCAAGGTCGGTGAAGAATTGTGGTGGGATTTTAATGGGGATTGCATTGAATCTGTAGATTGCTTTTGGTAAGATTGCCATTTTTACTATGTTTATTCTACGTATCCAAGAGCATGGGAGGTCTTTCCATTTTCTGGTATCTTCTTTAATTTCTTTCTTTAGAGTCACAAAGTTCTTATTATATAGATCTTTTACTTGTTTGGTAAGCGTTACACCAAGATACTTTATGTTGCTTGTGGCTATTGTAAAGGGTGATGTTTCTCTGATTTCTTTCTCTGCCTCTTTGTCGTCTGAAAAAAATAGGGCTACTGATTTTTTTGAGTTTATCTTGTATCCTGCTAGTTTGCTGAAGGTGTTTATCAGCTGTAGGAGTTCCCTGGTAGAGTTTATTGGGTCGCTTATGTAAACTATCATATCATCTGCAAATAGAGACAGTTTGACTTCTTCCTTTCCAATTTGGATGCCCTTGATCTCCTTTTGTTGTCTTATAGCATTAGCTAGAACTTCTAGTACGATATTGAAGAGATATGGAGAGAGAGGACAGCCTTGTCTTGTTCCTGATTTTAGAGGAATTGGCTTAAGTTTCTCTCCATTCAGTTTGATGTTGGCAGTTGGTTTGCTGTATATTGCTCTTATTATGTTTAGGTATGTTCCTGTTATCCCTGACCTCTCTAATACCTTTATCATGAAAGGGTGTTGAATTTTATCGAAGGCTTTTTCTGCATCTAGGGAGATAATCATATGGTTTTTCTTTTTCCATTTGTTTATATGGTGGATCACGTTGATAGATTTTCGTATGTTAAACCATCCCTGCAATCCAGGTATGAAGCCTACTTGATCATGGTGGATGATTTCTCTGATGTATTTTTGAATTCGGTTTGCCATTATTTTATTGAGTATTTTTGCATCGATGTTCATCAGGGATATTGGTCTGTAGTTTTCTTTCTTAGTTGTGTCTTTGTGAGGTTTGGGTACGTCACTGCTCTTCTTAGAAGGAATTTCACAGCTCAGCAACACTCACAATGTGTGCTGTACTGAAAATCATGTAAAATATTAAAAACAAAAAACAGATCGAAATGAAGCACAGCAAAATTGTACTGTTGCTGTATTGTTCTGGCACCTCTAGACAATTTGTGGTGGTTTCCTTCCTAAATTTAGATGGAACATCTTTTTTAAAATAACTTTCAAAAACTTTTAAGTTTTACAGAGTTTAAAGCTACAAATGGCACTGAGAATTGTGTGACTACAACTTCCTTCACCGGCACCAACCAACACACTCAAGCAATAATTTCTCCTCTATACAAATTTATTATATACATACTATTTTGAGGTATTTTTGGGTAGACATTATATAATTTTTAGTCCATATTTTAAAAATACATGATTAAAAATATCATTGATAGAATACTGTTAAAAAACTCATACTTTTAGCAATGATTGGTATCACTAACTATTTTGCATGTCAAAATATGATCATGTCTTTTTGTTTCCTTGATACTTGGGACTGAACCAGAGGCAAATTGGAAATGGGAAATAATAAAAGGACAGAAAAAAGTATTTCAGGGAAAAATGACATATTTGAAACATTTTTTTTTTTTACTTAATTCAGTATAGAAGTAGATCTGTCTTTAAGGAACTTCTAAAACCTGCATGACATTGTACATTCTGATTCCATTTTGTTTTGGAAATTTATAGGTAGAATGTCACCCATATCTCAATCAGAGCAAACTTCTGGAATTCTGCAAGTCCAAAGACATTGTTCTGGTTGCCTACAGTGCCCTGGGATCCCACAGAGACCCAAACTGGTAATGAGACTATTGGACTTTATTTCCTTATGTCAATACTTTCATATTGACAAAACATTAACTTTTAACCTTGTGGAAAGTTCAATCATGAAGAAAAAAGTTCAAAAATGCAGCAGTTCCTAAGTACCAGGGTTGAGGTTCAGGCTTACTAGTGTTTTTTTTTGCTTTATCTGTCTACCAGTTTTCAACACTAATAAGCATAGCTCTAAAAGGGATTGTAAGACATAATTTATAGAGATTAGACTGCATATATCCTAGCCATCCCATTTTGACTATTGGATAGATTGTAAAATATATAAACCCAGAGACAGATATTGGGGTTCAAGCTGAAGACCAGAGAAACAAAGCAGCCAAGCTACCAGAGAGCTCTTACCTCTACCAAGGCCAGGGTGACAATGTCCTCAACATGACTGGAGACTAATTGCCTGCTATATTCAGCATGAGACCTTGAGCTGCTTCTTTTTTTGTAGGTACATTAATCTGTGATTTTAAAATTTAAATTAGAAACAATCTTATTCTATATATCAATCCCAGTTCCCTCTCCCTCCCATTCTCCCATGCCCCCCACAGACCCATATCCTATCCCTCTTCTGTTCCATAGAAAGGGTGAGGCCTTCTATGGGGGAATCATCAAAGTCTGTCACATCATTTGGGCAGGGCCTAGACCCTCCCCTATGAGTCTAGGCTGAGAGAGTATCCCCCTATGGGGAGTCGGCTTCCAATGTCCATTTGTACACTAGGTATAAATGCTGTTTCATTACTAGGGACCCCATAGACTGCCCAAGCCTCCTAACTATCACCCACATGCAGGAGACCTAGTTTCATCCTATGCTGGTTTCAAAGCTGTCATTATGAGGTCCATGAGCTCCACCTTGTTCAGGTCAGCTGTTTCTGTGTTTCCCCACCATGGTCTTGATGTCTTTGCACATCCCTCCTCCCTCTGTATAACTGCATTCCAGGAATTTGGCTCAGTGTTTAGCTGTGGGTCTCTGCTTCTGTTTTCATCAGCTACTGGATGAAGGCTCTCTGATGGCATATAAATTGAGAGTACAGGGCAGGGGGAGGGGAGAGGGAGTTAGGAGAAAGAAGGGGAGAAGAGGGGGGGAGGAAGGAAGACATGAGGGACCAGGACAGGGCGGGGGGAGGGGAGAGGGAGTTAGGAGAAAGAAGGGGAGAAGAGGAGGGGGGGGGGAAAGGAAGACATGAGGGACCAGGAAGATTGAGTTGGGGGAAGAATAGAGGAGAACAAGAAAAGAAATAACTTAATAGAGGGAACCATTATAGATTTAAAGAGAAATCTGGAACTAGGGAAATGTCCAGAGACTTACAAGGATGACCCCAACTAACATTCTAAGCAATAGGAGAGAGGCTACCTTAAATGCCTTTCCCCTATAGTGAGCTTCTGCTTATATACCTATCTAGTGCTGGGATTAAAGGTATAAGCTCTGTTTCTCTTTTAGATTGATTCACTCTCATGTAGCCTTGGGTGGTCTTGAACTCACAGTGATCCATCTGCCTTTGTTTTCTGAATCTTGGGATTAAAAGTGTACACCACTATTGCCTGGCTTCTGTGGCTGTGGCTAGATTTGCTGTCTGATATCCAGGTGAGCTTTATTAGATCGTAAACAATATATCACCACACAAATTCATATTATTTCTAGGAACTTTCTTATTTCTACAACATTGACTATTTGATTTAGGAGGGACTTAGGACCATCTTCTTTCATAATATCCGATGATGTTATGTAGAGTTCAAAAAGAGAGAATTCCAAGGAGAAAATATGACTGTCCTTTCAAGTGGTGATATTGACTTGCAGGGTATCTAACATGCTATTAAAGATTTTTCAAAGGATATATGCAACTTAAGCTAAAAATTCCATAGGCTTAGGAAACTTTTACTGCCCTTACATTTACCAGTGAATTCTGATTTCTATATGTAGATTGAGAGACAACAGGTTTGTATATGCATGTGCTGGTTGAATTTTTTTTCATCAACTTGACACAAGCCTAGACTTATCTAGTAAGAGGGAATCATAACAAACAAACAAACAAACAAAAATGCTCCATAAGATTGTCATATTGGCAAGTCTGTGTGGTATTGTTTTTTATTAATAATTGGTATGCAAGGGCCCAGCCCACTGTGAGTGGATCCATCATTGTGGTCCTGAGTTGTATAAGAGAGCAAAGCAGTAGGCAATATTTCCCCATGGCCTCTGCTTCAGTTCCTGCTGTGAATTAATTTGATGATGAACTGTGATGTGGAAGTGTAAGATGAGATAAGCCCTCTCCTCCTTGGGTTGCTTTTGGTCACAATGCTTTATCATAGCAACAGGAACTATAACTAAGACATAAGAAAGAAGACAGTTGTGATTGTCAAAGACATTGTCTCTTGTCCTGTGCTTTTAATAAAGTGCAATGTTTAATGCAGAAACTTGATTTTTCTAGAGTAAAACAAAATAAAACAGAAGCTAATAAGTAATGATTATAAATAATACCCTTTTATGTCCTTATTCCTTCTGTGATATTTTTTTTTTTTTTTAAAAAAAACATTTTTTTTTTTTTTTTTTTTTCATGTTTCTTTTTTTTTTTTTTTGCATATAGAGTATTTTTTATTTAATTTTATATAACAAAGTCCAATTAAATGAAAACAAACATTTATACACAATATTTGGGAATTTGGGCGTCGTTCTTTCCAAACTACTTCCTGCTGGTAAGGGGCGCTGTCTTGGGGGATTCGAAGAAGATTCAGATATCCTAGCTGTAGTCTGTAGGGCTGTTAAAAAAAACAGTTTTAAGACAATTAGTTTTTGGTACTGTTCTTTTGCTCTAGAGAAACTTTGACTATTCTATAGGAATCCTGTGCTTTTGGGTGAGGGGCATAGTTTAAAATAGAGTCATGCTATGTAGAGCAGGCTGCCTTCAAACTCATGGATAGGGACCACTTGCCTCAATCTCCCAAGTGCTAGAATTATAGACTTATGCTCTTTCATTTCTTTCTTCCTTCCTCCCCCCTCCTTCCTTCCTTTCTTTTTTCTTCCCATACTTTTAGATATCAATTAATGGTGACTTAAAATTACCAAAGGAAAAATGCTATAAATAAGTAATTCTTAATGTTATTGTAAAAATTTATTTTCCATTTTATATGCCAACCCCAGTTCCCTCTCCCGTCCCTTCTCTCATCCCTCTACCTCCTCTCCCTTCCCTTCTCTCATCCATCCACCTCCCCTCCCTTCCCACCCATAATTCACTATTCAGAGTGGGTAAGGCCTTCCTTGGTGAGTAAACATAGTCTGGCATACCAAGTTGAGGCAGGACCAAGTACCTCCTCCTGTATTAATGCTAAGCAAGGTATCCCACCACAGGGAATAGGCTCCAAAAACCAGTTCATGCACTGGGGATAAATCCTGGTCCCACTGCCAGCCCCCTCCCACAACAGATCAAGCCAAATAACTATTAACCACATTCAGAGAGTTTAGTTCAGTCCCATGCAGGTTCCCCAGCTGTCAGTCCATTGTCCACGAGTTTCCATTAGCTTGGGTCAGCTGTCTCTGTGCATTTCCCAAACATGATCTTGATGTCTCCTTTGCCCATATGATCTCTCCTCCCTCTCTTCAAGTAAATTCCAGGAGCTCAGAGCCCAGTGCATGGCTGTGGGTCACTGCATCTGCTTACATCAGTTATTGTGTAGGTTCTATGATTGTAATTAGGGTAGTTACTAATCTGATTAAAGGGGAAGGCCCATTCAGACACCTTCTCAACTATTGCTAGGAGTCTTAGCTGGGGGCATCCTTGTGGATTTCTGACAATTTCTCTAGTACTAGGTTTCTTCCTAACCTTACAATAACTCCATCTATCAAAGTATTTCTTTCAACAACTTGTATTTTTAAATTGCATGTTATTCTAAGTAACTTGATGAAATCACATGCTATCTAGGATGAGAATTATCCTTTTCAGTGTATCCTTATAAAATATACTCCATGCTTGCTAGTTACTTGTTAGTTGTCTCGTTTATTGAGGCAACCATCATAACATGGCAGAACTTGCATTCAGGTAACCCTTAATTTAATTAATAAAGGCTCAAAAGCATAGTGTCACTTGAAATTTGGATAGGGCAAAGAGAAGCACTTCATATGAAAATGGGAAAGTTCTCTAAGCTACATGATAAAAATGAATCTTCTATCCCTGAAATGTCAAGAAGGAAATGGAAGTTCATGCTAGCTTTGTATATCACCAAACATAAGATTCACTTATGGAAGTTGAAAAAAAGTATCACTTCACACACACACACACACACACACACACACACACACACACACACACATATATATAGTGCACATAGGGCTATTCTAAGACCATCTGAGGATAAAAGAATATTTGTACTTTTGAAATATTCCATTACATGGAAATCTGTCCTACACAGCACTTATCTTCTCTTCTTAGTTGTTTACAACTTTTACAAAATAGAGCCTTCATCCAGTGGTTGATGGAAGCAGAAGCAGACACCCACAGTGAAACACTGAGAAAAACTCCTGGAATCCAGTTGTAGAGAGGGAAAAGGGATGAGCAAAGGGGTTAAGACCATGCTGGGGAAACCCACAGAAACAGCTGACCTGAGCAAGTGGAAGCAATTCTGACAGATGGGGAACTGGCATAGGACTGAACCAGACCGCCTGAACATGGGTGATAATTAGGAAGCATGGGCAGTCTATAGGGCCTCTGGTGGTGGAACCAGTATTTATCCCTAGGGTACAAATGGATTTTGGGAGCCCATTCCCCATGGAGGGATACTCTCTAAGCCTGTACATGGGGGAGGGCCTAGTCCCTGACCCAAATGATATGACAGACTTTTATGATCCCTCATGGAAGGCCTCATCCTCTATGGGGAGTGGGTGTGGGTTGGGATGGGGGAGTTGGTTGGGGACATGGGAGGATGGGAGGGAGAGGGAACTGGGATTGATATGTAAAACAAGATTGTTTCTAATTTAAATAAAATATATAAAAGCATATCTCTGTGAATACTCAAAAAATTCTGTTTTAGCTATAATGTATTGTACTTACTTCTTTCAGTGGTCTGGGAATATAGGTAAGGTGGCAACATATTCCCATCTCTGTGAGTATGTTTTGTGTATATTTTCTTTTTCAGGATTGATAGTGATAGCCCATACCTCCTGGAGGAACCTATCTTAAAGACCGTCGCCAAGAAACATAACCGAACTCCAGGCCAGGTTGCCCTGCGCTACCTGCTACAGAGGGGTATAGTGGTTTTGGCCAAGAGCTTCAATGAGAAGAGAATCAGAGAGAACTTCCAGGTAAGGTCCAAGAGCATTTCTCCAGAATGAGACGGGGGGGGGGGCAATTTCCCTGCAATGGGAGCACCTGTTATTTATTCACTCCCATGCATTGTCCCCATGTGCTATACACAACAGCTTGAAAGGGCAGCAGAGAAAGCACTGGGTAACAGGAGGTGGGCAAAAGTTTGGGTCTCCTCCATACTAGGCTTTGCCTTTTACAAGTTCTTTAACAAGATGCATGTCAGCTCTATTACTTCAGGTGGTTGTGGGAGTCCTTTCTGATGGCAGAGACCTTTAAAAACCCTCATTTCTGTTCTTTAAATTCTTTGCTTTACAAATTCTTGATTGTATTAAGGACAGCAATTTGAGTTAATATTAAATCCAAATAAGATGGCTGGTTGGTTAAACCACTGGACTATTCCAATATATTTTCACTTTTCTTTTCTTTCATAGTACTGGGTATGGTTCTATGTGAGTTTTTCATTAACTTACAATTATTTAGTTATATGCCTGTGTGCTTTCTGAAGTGTGGGATGTTACATATGGCCATTTCCCCTTTATCACAGGTGTTTCTCTTGGCAATAGAAGAGCTAAATAAATTTATAGGCTGACCATATAAAGAAATCAACGAGACTATCACTAGCTAGTCTCTCAAACCAGTCAGTGGTTTTTCATTTGTTTTGTTTAGAATCTTGTAAGGTTAAAACAAAATGACCTTTCCTCTAGTTTCTGTATGCATTTGTGTTGGAGGGCATACTCACCAGAGCATAGTGGGTAGCCAGAGGGTAAGTTGTGGGAGTTGTTCCTCTCCATCCTCCAAGTGGATCTCAGGAATGGAACAAAGTATCAACAAGCACCATTACCTGCTGCTGGTTTCAAGAAGAAATGTGACTCATAAATTCAAGTATTTGAATAGTTTTATGGTGACAGCTAAAAATTTCATGAGTATAATATTTATAAAAGTAACAGTACCAACATATTATTGAAAATACTATAGCTCTTGGTTAAAGTTATTTTAATGAATGAATTTGATACATTATTATAAATTTAACTGCTAAATCCTTCAGAGAAATTAACTTTATTTTAAAATTCAACATGTTAATAGATGGCCACACGGCAGCCATATTATTACTTAATGTATTCTTAAGATGGACTCCTGGAGGATAGATGGATGGGCAGTATCTTGGTTTCGTTTTCTGTTGCTGTGATAAATTATCCCACAAAAAAACAACTTAATGAAGAATGTGTTTATTCTGAATCACACTTTAAGGGTACAGCCTACCAATGCAGGGTAATTATAGTGGCAGGAGCCTGAGGCAGCTGGTCACACTGCATCCACAGTCAAAAAGTAGAGAGGGTTGAATGCTTGAATGCATGCTCAGCTTTTCTCCGCTTTGTGAAGTTCTAGATGTCCTGCCCAGGGAAAGATCCTACCCACAATTAAGATGTGTCTTTTTAAGCTGGTGGTTGTGGTACATGCTTTTGATCCCAGCACTCAGGAGGCAGAGGCAGGCAGATCTCTAAGAGTTTGAGGCCAGCCTGGTCTACAAAGCAAGTTCCAGAACAGCCAGGGCTGTTACACAGAGAAACACTGTCTAGAAAAACTAAAACTAAAACAAACAAACAAACAAAAAGGATAGGTCATCTCATATCCATTAACATAATCAAGATAATCCTCACAGGAATACCCTATGATTCATCTCACTGATGATTCTAGATTCTGTCAAGTTAACATTAACCATCACATATACCTTTAATAGATAAATGATTTAATAGATAAAAGATAAATATATACTTAATTTTCATGTAAGTACAGATATAAATGTAAATCACATATATACATATATCAGAAGTTCAAGCATTCTTGGTTATGTAGCAAGTTTGAGGCCAGTTTGGGCTACATGAGATTCTGTCTAAAATTAACAAAATTGCCTATTATATGTAGCAGGTAGGTAGGCAGATGGATGGGACTCTGTAATTTTTTTTTAATTTAATGTGTGTGTGTGTATGGTGCATGTGTTGTTGTACTGGTTACCCTTATCTTTACTCCTGACCTTATTGTCTTGAGACAGGCTGTCACTGAATATGCAGGTAGGATGACAGCCTGCAAGCTCCAGCAATTTTGATGTCTCCTCCACTCTATAGCTCTAGGGTTATAGGCACTCTTATGAGTTTTTTTTTTTTTTTTTTTTTTTTTTTTTTTTTTTTTGGGTGAGAAGATTTGAATTCAGGTCGCTATGCTCATGCAGCAAGTGATCTTACCCACTGAGCTATGCATGCATCCTAGGATCTTGAATTTTTCTCCTGATGAGATAATTGACAACATATTTTTGCAATAAAACATTTCCACTGGGAATGCCATATTATCAAATACAAAGTTGGATTTGAGTGAGATAGAGAAAGAAGATAGGTGAAATCATTTAAACACATGATCCAGTATCTCAGTGATCAATCAGGAAGATTCTTTTGATAAAGAAGAATAGATGTAGATAATGTTTGAGAACATGAGATTATTGAATAGCATGGTTGAAGAATTGATCTGGGCCTTATATTTCTTCAACTAAATCAAATCTTGGAGAGGAGGTAGACTATGCTCTATGATTGGGTAAGATATATTCAAGGCTAGATCAAACTCCAGGGTCTCAAAGGAAGAAAAGTTTAGCAAATTTTGGTCAGGCTAAATTTAGTATTTCATCTGGATTTGAAAATTAATTTGGGAGTTTTTTTTTCCTGCCTTACTTAAGGTTAGGGATTGATGAATCTTTCTTTTCTGAAGTGGATCAAAGTAGGAAAGGAATGGGAAAGGACGGACTACAATAGCAGCCAAACGTTCTGAGACCAGGACCACCTGGAAGCCAATTGTGACAAAAATGCTTCTCTTAAATGCTTTGTTGCTATCTCTTTTATATTCCCAGGTAGAAAGAGGCCACTTCAATGGCTTATTTATTTATTATTTTATTATTATTATTTTTTGTGTCTCTTTCTTTCTAGGTGTTTGACTTTAAATTGACCCCGGAGGACATGAAAGTGATTGACAGCCTCAACAGAAATTTTCGATATGGTAAAATGTCATTGTAAGTAACTCTTCTAGACTGCTTTATAGTTTGTGTTTTGCAACATTCTGGCAATCCATTCATGATCAGTGTAGCATTTTTTTGCTTATGAATGGTTGAGTTTATTACATATACATAGCAAGTCAAAGTACAACAGTAAGTATAGATAGATAGATTGTAAACACGATTAAATTCTGCACTCAAAATATTCAGAATTGGATGAGAGAGTGCCTTTAATGCAACCATCCTGAGTTCTCAATAGAGAGGGTCTTGAACAGAGCACAGGATCTAGTCAGGTGAGGCTTCTAGGTAAAAGCACACACTAGCAGAAAAGTAACATTCTTAAACTGGATGCTTACACCCAGCAAAAACTAAATGGGGAAGTTGAGGCAGTCAGCTAGAGTTCCTGATAGTCCTGAGCAGAGAAGAGTGACTCCCTAGAGTGAGGATGCCAATTAGAACGAACAGCAAGACAAAGATAACATTATCAAAATGGTGAGGAATTGAAGTAAAATTCAAGATGCCACAGAACCAGGGAACTCTAGGCTCTGCTGCAGAAGAGTGCCTTTCCTGGCTTTCCTAGCATTCTGTGAAGCTATCTTTGTTCTGGAGAGCTCAATGTTTAAAGGAGGGAGAGAGAAACAATGAAAAGCATTCAGACTTTCTTATCACTAGATAAGCTCAGGAGACAGAAGGTCTCTTGGCTGCATGGGGGCTGTTTGAATAATGGTCCTTGAACACATTAAACTGCATAGCTGAGAAGGGGAGGGGACATTTTTACCATGGACACACCTTGGCAAGTGGGAGACATTCTCCTCCTATGTATAAACAAAGTGCTGTCAGACAGAGTTGACCCAGTAGGGCAGTATATGAAAGTCTAGTATACGCAGGTCACAGGGGAAGAGGAAGCCTTTCCCATGGCTCAACTTCTGGCTTTATCCCATGGAAGGCACTGTTCTCAAAAGCATGATGATTTCACTCTTGGGCTGTTTGCTGTTTTCTTCCTTCCCTGTCAGAGGTTTTTTTTTTTTTTTTTTTTGTGGCAGGTGGGGGCATCTCAACCCTAGACAAGGTTCTTTGGAGGATACATTGAGACAACAATACTTTGGGTCTTAAATGAAGGAAGGAGATGCTACCCTGCTTCCAGAGCCAACTTTTCAGTGAGCTCAAACAACACATGAATATATATATATATATTTTATATACTGTGATTTTTTTCTTATTTTATATATTGATCCCAGTTCCCTCTCCCTCCTATGCCCCCCAACCCCCCTCCCATCCCATTCCCTACCCACTCCACAGGGAGGTTGATGCCTTCCAGGAGGGATCGTCAAAATCTGTCAAATCATTTGGAATAGGCTCCAGGCCCTCCCTCCTGTCTCTAGGCTAAGGAAGTATCCCTCCATGGGGAATGTGATCCCAAAGTCCTTTCATGCACCAGGGATACATCCTGGTTCCACTGTCAGAGATCCCTTAGATTGCACAGGCCTTCTAACTGAGACCCATGTTCAGGGGGGTCTGAGTCAGTACAATGCTAGTTTGGTTTCCCAGCTATCAGTCGGTGGGTCCATGAGCTCCCCCTTGTTCAGGTCAGCTATCTCTGTGGGTTTCTGTAGCCTTGTCTTGACCCCTTTTCTAATCACTTCTCCATCTCTGCAACTGGATTCCAGGAGTTTGGCTCAGTGTTTAGCTATGGGTGTCTTCTTCTGTTTCCATCAGCTACTAGCTGATGAGGGCTCTATGATGGCATATAAATTAGTTATCAATCTCATTATCAGAGAAGGGCATTTAAGATAGGCTCTCCACTGTTGCTCAGATTGTTAGTTGGGGTCATCCTTGTAGGTCCCTGGACATTTCTCTAGAGTCGGTTTTCTTTTCAAACCTATAATGGCTCCTTCTATTATGGTATCTCTCTCTCTCTCTCTCTCTCTCTCTCTCTCTCTCTCTCTCTCTCTCTCTCTCTCTCTCTCTTTTGCTCTCCTCTATTTGTTCCTTGACTCAATCTTCCTGGTCCTATATGTTCTCTCCTCTCCTTTTTCACCTAACTCCCTCTCCACTCACTGCCCCCTCTCCCAATATGTTCAGGAGATCTTGTTCCTTTACCCTTCTGTGAGGGACTTTGTATGAATCTCTTATGTTCCTCCTTGTATCATAGTTTCTCTGGTGGTATGTATTATAGGCTGGTGATCCTTTGCTCTATGTCTAAAATCCATATATGAGTGAGTACATATCATGTTCCTCTTTTTGTGACTGGGTTACCTCATTCAGGATGGTTTCTTCAAGTTCCATCCATTTGCCTGCTAATTTCAAGGTTCCATTTTTTTTTCCCTCCCGATGAGTATTATTCTATTGTGTAAATGTACCACATCTTTATTCATTCTTCAGTTGAGGGGCATTTAGGTTGCTTCCAGGTTCTTGCTATTACAAATAATGCTGCTATGAACATAGTTGAACAGATATCTTTGTTGCATGGATGTGCATCTTTTGGGTATATGCCTAAGAGTGGAATTTCTGGGTTCTGTGGTAGACCGATTCCCATTTTCCTGAGGAACCACCATACTGATTTCCAAAATGGCTGTACAAGTCTGCACTCCCACCAGCAGTGGAGAAGTATTCCCCTTTCTCCACATTCTCTCCGGCATAAGTTGTCATTGGTGTTTCTTATTTTATCAATTCTGACATGAATAAGATTGTATCTCACAGTTTTTGATTTGCATTTCCATGAAGGCTAAGGATGTTGGGCACTTTCTTAAGTGTCTTTCAGCCATTTTGCATTCCTCTATTGAGATTTCTCTATTTAGTTCTGAACCTCACTTTTTAATAGGGTTATTTTGTGTTTTGGTGACTAGTGTTTTGAGTTCTTTGTATATTTTAGAGATCAGCTCTCTGTCAGATGTGGGGCTGGTGAAGTTCTTTTCCAAGTCTGTGGGCTGCGGTTTGTTTTTGTCGACTATGTCCTTTGCCTTACAGAAGCTTCTCAGTTTCAGGAGGTCCTATTTATTAATTGTCGATCTCAGTGCCTCTGCTACTGGTGTTATGTTCAGGAGTGGTCTCCTGTACCAGTTCCTTCAAGGGTACCTCCCACTTTTTCTTCTAAGAGGTTCAGTGTGGCTGGATTTAAGTTCAGGTCTTTGATCCATTTGGATTTGAGTTTTGTGCATGGGTTTATCTGCAGTCTTCTACATACCATCATCCAGTTTGTCAATACCACTTGTTGAAGATGCTTTCTTTCCTTCATTGTATAATTTTAGTTGTTTTGTCAATCATCAGGTATTTTTAGGTGTGTGAGTTAATATCAGGATTTTTGATTCAATTCCAATGGTTTATCTGTCTATTTTTGTGCCAATACCAAGCTGTTTTCAGGACTATAGCTCTATAGTAGATCTTGAAGTTGGGGATAGTGATGCTTCCTGAAGTTCCTTTATTGTACAGGGTTATTTTGGCTATCATAGGTCTTTTGTTTTTCCATATAAAGTTGAGTATTATCCTTTCAAGGTCAGTGAAGTTCAATATAGTGTCAGTATCTAGTTTTCAGAATAGGGTTGAGACAAGTGCATCCCTATAGACTTCAGAAGAGATGGACTTTTTCTGAATTTCATGATTTGTAGTGAGACTCAGGACCAACCCTATTTCAAAACTGGCCAAGCTGGGGCTGTAGCTTAGTTGGTGCTGTGCTTCCTTCCCAAGCACCACATAAAAAAGGCATAATATCCTAAACCATTATTGTCATCCTCTGGAAGGTGGGAATAGGAGGATCAATAATTTAAGGCCATCCTCTATTACACAGTGAGTTCAATTTAGACTTAGAATACATGTGACCTTCTTCCTCCAAAAAGTCAAAGTGGCATCATTGTGAGGTGATGTTGAAAAATGCCCTATGACCTTTGGCCAAAATCAATACTTCCTTCATGGCTCAACTGTCCATTAGACACAGAAAGCCTACTATCCATGAAAATTCTTTCTCATTAATGTGTATTAAAATCAAAAGAAATAAAAGAGAATTCAATAATAATGAGCACACAGTAATGTGTCAAGCCGATTCTAACTTTGCCAACACTAAAGCAGTATAACATGTACTTCACATAATCTTTGCGGAATATGGACTCTCAAAAGTGATAGGAATAAGTCATAGGGGAAATATAATTCCCTTTTAACTTATTCTTCTCTGTGTCCATTGGTACTTGCCTTGAACCAGTCCTTTTCCAAGATATGTCTGTTGTTCCCCAAAATATTCATTGACTTTTATTTTCCTATCACATTCCTATTTCTGTATCTTACTAACTTGAAATATAGGAAATCATGAAATGGGGCTAGTAAGATGGCCTAGTGAATATAGACGCTTATCATGTAAGCTCAACAACCTGAATAAAATCCCTGGAAAGTGGAAGGACAAAATTGACCCTACAAAGCTGTTTTTTGACCTCCACATGCATATCTTGGCACATAAATAACAACAACAACAACAACAACAACAACAACAACAAAATATAGGGATCCACAACCATAGTCGTTGATGTGTTCCATTGCATGTAGCAAGACAGGGTCCACTGAAATTTGTCTATGTCCTCAAATAATGACTGTCCTTATTTTGTCTATCAGAAGTGTGACTCATGAACAAATAAGTGCTTCTTTTTCTCTTTCAGTGCGGTGGATCACCCTTATTATCCATTTTTGGAAGAATATTGAGCAAGAGCTGCTAACCATTACAGAGGCTTTCTTCCTCCAGATACTGTGTATATTTATTTGGTTGAGAAGCAGTATCTCTGCCACCAAGTTCTTGTCTAATGTCACAAAACTATTAATCTCAAGTGAGGACATATGTTTTTCTTGATAACTGAAAATAACACACAAAGTACAGAGAACTTATAAAATGAAAGAAAATATTTAATGTAGCTTCCTTGATTTTTATGTAATTTCATGTCTGTATTTTTATTTACGAAAATAAAATCAATATCAACACATGGACCATTATGCTTTTACAATGTATTTTATTCAAGTGATTGAACATTATTCAAGAATTTTAGAGAAGTTTTCTAATTGTAAAGAAATAGGTCTTGCTTGTCCTCTTCCGCCAGCTATTGGCCAGAGGTGAGTCTGGGCCCAATCTGGGCTGCCTGTCCTCTACAACCTCTTTTCCCCTCTCCCCCGCCCAAACTCCCTGGGTTGGCCCCTGATCCTGCTGCTCCTGTCTCTGGTCCCTATCGAGAGCACTCTTGGAGCTCTGATACACCCCCACCCATCCCCACCGCCAGCCTACCCCCCCTACCCTGTGCCCTACCCTACCCACGGTCCTGCCCTTCTGGTTGAGCACTGGGACAGAGGGTGGAGCCAACAGCCCACCCTACTTCGGAGACTTCTCGGAGCAACTCTGAACAAAGGAGACCTGACTATCCACGCGGGACCACCCGTAATTTCTACTTCTAAAACTCAAAGCTCATATAAAATATCTGAATGGAGAGAAACTTAAGCCAGTTCCTCTAAAATCAGGAACAAGACAAGGCTTCTCGCCATATCTCTTCAATATCGTACTAGAAGTTCTAGCTAATGCTATAAGACAACAAAAGGAGATCAAGGGGATCCAAATTGGAAAAGAAGAAGTCAAACTGTCTCTATTTGCAGATGATATGATAATTTACATAAGAGACCCAATAAACTTTACCAGGGAACTCCTATAGCTGATAAACACCTTCAGCAAACTAGCAGGATACAAGATAAACTAAAAAAAAATCAGTAGCCCTACTTTTTTCAGACGACAAAGAGACAGAGAAAGAAATAAGAGAAACATCACCTTTTACAATAGCCACAAGCAACATAAAGCATCTTGGTGTAATGCTTACCAAACAAGTAAAAGACCTATATAATAAGAACTTTGTGGCTCTAAAGAAAGAAATTAAAGAAGATACCAGAAAATGGAAAGATCTCCCATGCTCTTGGATAGGTAGGATAAACATAGTAAAAATGGCAATCTTGCCAAAAGCAATCTACAGATTCAATGCAATCCCCATTAAAATCCCACCACAATTCTTCATCGACCTTGAAAGGATAATAATCAACTTTATATGGAAAGACAAAACACCCAGGATAGCCAAAACAACCCTATACAATAAAAGAACTTCAGGAGGCATGACCATTCCTGACTTTAAGTTCTACTACAGAGCTATAGTTCTGAAAACAGCCTGGTATTGGCATAAAAATAGACAGGTAGACCAATGGAATCGAATTGAAAATTCTGATATTAACCCACACACCTATGATCACCTGATTTTCAACAAAACAGCTAAAATTATACAATGGGGCGAGGACAGCATGTTCAAGAAATGGTGCTGGCACAATTGCATGAGGGTGTGTAGAAGACTGCAGATAGACCCATGTCTGTCGCCATGCACAAAACTCAAGTCCAAATGGATCAAAGACCTCAACATCAATCCAGCCACATTGAACCTCTTAGAAGAGAAAGTAGGAGGTACCCTTGAACAAATTGGTATAGGAGACTGCTTCCTGAACATAACTCCAGGGGCACAGACACTGAGAGAAACAATTAATAAATGGGACCTCTTCAAACTTAGAAGCTTCTGTAAGGCAAAGGACATAGTGGACAAGACCAAAAGGCAGCCCACAGACTGGAAAAAGATTTTCACCAATCCTATATCCGACAAAGGGCTGATCTCCTAAATACACAAAGAACTCAAGAAACTAGTCAACAAAACACCAAATAACCCTATTAAAAAATGGGGTACAGAACTGGAGAAAGAATTCTCAATAGAGGAAATCAAAAAGGCTGAAAGACACTTAAAAAAATGCTCCACATCCTTAGCTATCAGGGAAATGAAAATCAAAACAACTTTGAGATACCATCTTACCCCTGCCAGAATGGCTAAAATTAGAAACACCAATGATGACTTATGTTGGAGAGGATGTGGAGAAAGGGGGACACTCTTCCCCTGCTGGTGGGAGTGCAAACTCGTAGAGCCATTTTGGAGATCAGTATGGCGGTTCCTCAGGAAAATGGGAATTACCACATGACCCAGCAATCCCCCTCTTAGGCATATACCCAAAGGATTCACATCCATACAACAAAGACTTCTGTTCAACTATGTTCATAGCAGCACTATTTGTAATATCAAGAACCTGGAAGCAACCTAGATGCCCCTCAATTGAAGAATGGTTAATGAAGATGTGGCACATCTACACAATGGAATACTACTCTGCAGAAAAAAAATAATGGTATCTTGAAATCTGCAGGCAAGTGGATGGCACTTGAAGAAACCATCCTGAATGAGGTAACCCAGTCACAAAAAGAGGAACACAGTATGTACTCACTCATATATGGATTTTAGACCTAGGTCAAAGGATCACCAGCCTATAATTCACACCACCAGAGGAACTAGGATACAAGGTGTATTCTAAGAGATTCATATAAAGTCCCTCACAGAACTGGGAAGGGACAAGTTCCCCAGAGCTCAGGTGAAGTGGGGGGGCAGCAAATGGAGAGAGAATTAGAAAACGAGGGGGAGGAAAGGAAAACATGTACGACCAGGAAGATTGAGTCTGGTTAGGAATAGAAGACAGGAAAGAGGGAGAGAGAGACAAAGACAGAGAGAGAGAACATAAAAGAGGGAGCCAATATTGGTTTGAAGATAAAATTGAACACAAAGAAAGGTCTAGAGAACTACAAGACTGCTTCCAACTAACAATTTGAGCTTCTGTGGAAAGGCTATCATAAATGCCCTTCCCAGAGAGTGAGATCAACAACTAACTTCTCCATGGAGCCCTCAACTAATGCCTGTTGGAAACAGGAGCAAACACCCATACATAAACACTGAGTCGAACTAGAACCCAGATGCAGATGGAGAGGACAAGACATGGAGGCAGAAACACATAGAGACAGCTTACCTGAACAAGGAGGAGCTAATGGGCCATCAGACTGATAGCTGGGAAGCCAGCATGGGACTGACTCAGGCCCCCCTGATATGGGTCTCAGCCAGAAGGACTGAGCAGTCTAAGGGACCTCAGACAGTGGAGCCAGGATGTATCCCTGGTGCACAAAAGGACCTTGTGAACACATCCCCCATGGAGGGATAACTGCCTTAATCTAGAGAGAGGAGAGAAGTCCTAGTCCCTACTTCACATGACCTGTCAGATCTACTTGACCCCAACTGGATGGCATTCCCCTACATATGGAATTGGGGTGGGGGGATGGGAGGGGAGGGTGGTTAGAGTGCATGTGAGAGGGCAGAGAGGGTAAAAGGGAGGGAAGGAGGGAAGGAGGAAAGGAGGGAGGAAGGGAGAGGGAACTGGGATCGACATGTAAAATAATAAATTAAAAAAAAAATGCTTTGACTCCAAATTTTAAGTTGAAGGACAAGTTACTGGGGAAAAGGATTTCTATTTTTGTTTCCACAGTAAATGAAAAGATGTGGATTCCTTCCAGACTAATGTGGTTTGATCACGCCAGAACACCTGAAACAGAGTACAAGGTGATCCTACATTCAAAACAGCTGGACAAAGCAGCCTTACAGACTACAGCCAGGATTTCTGAATCTTCCTCGAATCCCCCCTGACAGCGCCCCTTACCAGCAGGAAGTAGTTTGGAAAGAACAATGCCCAAATTCCAAAATATTGTGTATAAATGTTTGTGTTCATTTAATTGGAGTTTGATATATATATATATATATATATAAAGAAATCGGTCTTGCCAACTTAATTTCTTAGTTTCAAAGCAGATTTCATTTCAGCTCAGTTTTTTTTTCTTTTTTTCTTATTTGTTTTTCAAGAGAGGGTTTCTATGTATTGCTTTTGAGCCTGTTCTGGAACTGGCTCTGTAGACCACACAGATATACCTGCCTCTGCCTCCCTGTGATTAAAGGCATGGCTTCAGCTCAGTTTTTATGTTCAATTGATATATTTTGAATCTGAAAACCTGTATAATTAATCAGTCATGGATATTTTTCAACTATTTTCTCTTAAAATGTCATTTCTGCATTCCTACTATTTTCTCCAGGAACTTCTTTCATACTCAGCATTTATCACATTCATTCACGTTCTTCTCCATGTCCATCAATAGTATACCCATTTTTCTGTCTCTGTCTAAGTGTGATCCTTTTTTAGTTTTCAGTTCATTATGATTTTCACTTCTAGAAGTTTTGTTGTATTCTTACAATAAATCTCCTTCTTTCAGTATCATTTTTACTTATTTAAAAAAGCTATGCATAAGCTTTCACATTTATGTTATCTTTTATATCTTATTTCTCTAACACATAATTTCTTGCTGGTAAATCTTGTACTTATGCTGCCCCAACTTTGTGGCACAATTTCATCTGAGATAACATGAATTCACAACCAGTCTTTGTGTATACTTTTATCTATTTGGGACTACTCCCATATCTTCCTATGCAAGTATCAGTGGGTTTTGGTTTCAACTGCTCCCACAAAGAAACAATGCAACACAGAGAATGTGTACATTATTATCTTCTAGCTCTCAAAAATTATAATTTCTAAAGTCTGTCTTTGATAAATTAATATGGGTTGTTTATTATTATCAGTTATATCACTTATGATCTCCTGTATTATTAATACATTTTTAGTGGACCCTTTACTTCTGAGAAAGAGGAAGAAGGAAATGATTTTGCTCTTCTGTGCGTGATTACTTGCAATTCAGTGTCCAGGGCTCTCTGTACTCAATACATAGGCTATTTGAAAGTTGGAAGGAAGACATTTCTGCAAACACTACTTGACTGCATTGTAATTATACTGTTGTGTGCACAGTCTAGCAAAGTTTTTGAGTCCAACTTTTGACATTGATAATCTATGACTTGAGAGACTGAGATGAAATTGTTACCATGAGTTTAAGAGCAGTGCATTCTAGGCCACCCTGCACAGCAAATAATACCCTGTGTCCAAAAATCCACACCAGTCCTCAAAAGAGGAAAAGGCTTGAGATTGGAATCAATTTTTATAAGGTTTTG